AATAAGAAAAGAAAAAGAAAAAAGAAAAAAGGAAACATCCAAACTAATTGATCATTATATGCTCTCTCTCTCTCTCTCTCTCTCTATATATATATATATGTATATGTATATGTATATGTATATGTAGACGTCTCATAAGTCATATTATAACAACTTCACATGGTGCAATTTCTTTGTAAATACTCGTTAGAATATTAGTGGTACTACACGGCTGGCAATTTCTTCCATTTATTTGAGTGCGAGAGAGATACTATAAAAAGATCACTAATATATGTGTCAGGTATAACTACGACCCAAAGAGAAACTTCCTGGAAATTTGTTGGTGTACCCCATTAATAATAGACCATAAATAGACCTTGTATAAATCATCACGAGATATCTATAGTGTGAATGTTACGATATTCAAGTGCTAGCTAGTTTGCGGAAAAACAATGCGCCCAACGAAAAAAACTTAAAAACTTTTTTCATGATCCAATTGTATTTGGGTGCTTTTTCTTTGTTTCAAAGTCTTTGTTTTTCATTTCTATCTTTCTTTTGTTTTCTTCTTCCCTTTTTAACAATTCTGTGGTAGTAAAATAAAATAATCTCTCTGTAAGACTCTACTCAAATGATTATATCTCATGATCATATTAAATTAACGAAAATATGATAATTTGATACAGCTCGATAAAAATCTGACAACTAATTAGAACAGTGTCCTATCTATATGAAACCATACAATAAAATTTTTTATTTTTTTTGGAATACAATATTGGAACATTCTCTAGTATGCCAATATACCAGTAAGTCAGGTTTTTTGACCATTAGATCTATATAAAATCACGTAAAAGTAAAAAAAATACGTAGATATTATGATTAGAAAACTTGACATACCGATACAATAGACATATCAGAAAATCTTCCTAGCTAATAGTAACAATAATTGTAATAATAAATGATGAAAAAGTGCATATAGATGTAGTAGGTTCTGAAATAATTAGATGGACATCCGATCAACAACATTTACACACGTACGAGAAAACTATACACATGTACCTATATGTATTAATCAAATCAAATTAGTTAAATAAAGATGGATTTGTTAAGTGTTAGGTCTTTTTCCTTTTTAATCAATGGAAAGAGGAGTAGTCCCCCACTCAAATTTATTTAGAAGATCAAAAAGAAAACAAAATAAAAAGAATGACTAGCAAAACAAGAAAATAAAAGGTATAAGGCCGAACCAGAAAAGCCATACACAACATTATAATATTATCAGTTTCTAATTATTTTAAAATTAAATGTTTAATTTAACAAGTTTCGAAGCTTAATAAAAATATAAGAAAGAATAGAAACTACAAGCTGGAACTGTATTAAGTGGAACATCGCCAGAAGAAACTACAGCAACGACATTGAGCTCCACTGGAATTTCCAATGTTGAGCTCTCATAGTGCTTCGAAACAACTAAGAAAATTAAGGCTTCATTCGTTCCACTATTCGAATCACAACTCAAACGTTTTGTTATAGTATTTTCTCTTACAAAAATTTAATTACAACCTTTTAAACAATAATATTTTCTCTCACATAAATTTATTTTTCAACTCAAGTTCTCCACACAAATGAAATCTAAATGACTCAACAAATAGACGTCACAAAAATGAAGACAAAGTTCTTTTTCTTTTCTTTTCTTTTATTTTTTATTTTATATACTCAAACTTAAATCATTGATTCTGCTATAAGGTTTTTTTTATAGTCAAACATTTTTTTTTACTTGACCTATGGGTAGGCTAAAATATGGGGTGCACCAAAAAATCTCCCTTTTTTTAAGTATAAAATACAACTTGTTTACTTTCTAACCTTCCACTTGTTTTTGCTACGCATATAAAGTTTATAAATAACTTTGCTTCGTCCTAAAGATTTATGTGTTCAAATAATTAACAATTAACGTCTTTCGGTGTGTACAAATTTGTTTATTAGTTAAATTTTATAGAAATTATATTTTAAAAAAATTACAGTCATAACAAAGCTTTGTGATGGTTCATTTTAAGTAAAACAGCTAAGAAAATTCTGCTTTCTTATTAGTTGATTAAGTAGTTTTACTAAACTCTTAAAATGTAATGGAAAAAAAAAGAACTAAACCTTTAAAATTTAATTTTTTGTATATTAAAATAATTAAATAGATTAAATACACACGTGCAACTTAAACTAGTACTATATAGAAGTGTGAGTTGGGGAAAAACAGTATAGTTCTTTCACGACCATTGTATTTAGGTGTTGGTCTTTGTTTTTCAGTTTTCTCTTTCTTTTCTTCTTTTTTCTTCTCTTCTTTTTTTTTAACAAAATTCTGTAGTGGTCTAATAAAGTAACCTATTGGTGAGACCGTATGACCATCTCATAATCACATCAAATTAAGAAAAATATCACAATTTAATATTCTAAACTTAATAAAGATCTAATAATTAATTAAAACATGTCCTACCATTAAGATATTTCTCATACTCTACTATAATATTTTCCTTAGTACAACCTATAAATAATAATAATAATAATGGGGGGCAGAAAATTGCATGTAGATCTAGTAGGTTATGAAATAATTACATAGACACCCTATTAACCGAAGCTCATTACAGCAACACACAAGAACGAGAAAAATTTACACCTGAACCCCTATGTATTAATCGAATTAGTTAACAAATTTGGATTTTGCTGTGTAAAGTCTTCTTTTAAATATATAGAGAGAGGAGTAAATCCCTTCTCAAATTCATTAACAAGAAAAAGAATGGCTAAGAAAACAAGCAAAAAAAAAAAAAAATGTACGAAAACAATATCATCATTTTCAAATTATTTCAAATTTAAAAGTTTATTTTTACGAGTTTCAAAACTTCACAATTATGATAAAAAGTATATACAATATTTGAAATAGCATTATACATTAGAGTATAAAATAGAATAATACATTATATATATAACAGAAATAGTAGAAAATAGGCCAATATGAAAAGCTTAAGAAAGTATATAGGCCAACTTTTAGGTATAGAAATTAATAGGCCATAACTTGTCAAGTTATGGTTCATAACCAGATAAGTTATAGACAAACTTGTCAAGTTATGGTTCATAGCCAGACAAGTTATGGACAAAAATCGTAAATAACTTATCAAGTTATGGTTCATAACCAAACAAGTTATGGACGAAAACAATAATTTAGCCTATTTATTAACTTATGTAAACTATTGACTTATTAATTTTAATTCATCTCAAATTTTAGCATATTTCCCTCTTTCTCCCTATATATAATATTTTCACAAACCAAATAAAGCATTGACAATGGTATTCACATTGAAGACGGTCCAACTCTTTCACTCACTTTGTTAGTCCATATGTGTCTTTTTAGTGAGAACTAGTTTTCGCTCTCTGCACGCGGGAGAAATCTTATAAAAATTGATTTGGCATATAATAAAAATTTTGTTGTGATTTAATAATTATTTTAGATTCATTTTATAGATAACATTTTCTGATTCTCATAAAATAAAGATAAAATTTCAAGTTTAACCATTGTTTTTTCTAACTCTATTATTTATGTCATTATACAAAATTTTGATGCCACTAAAAAAAATAACCTGCAGAATACGAAATGATAACCTACAGATTACGACAGATTACAAATGATAGATAACCCGCAGATTACAAAAGGTAACTTGCAAGTTATAAAATTATTATTCTCAAGTAAATTTAACTACATTTATTTATAAAATGTCCATATGCATTCAAGAATGAAAAGAAAACAACTATCTCACAACTCCAAATGTCAACTAGAAACTTCTTATTTGTTTTTTGCCCCAAAAATAGCCTCTGAAAGTCTTTAAACAAACACAAATATCCTCAAAACTGTCACAAAGTACTTCTTGATCTTTGACAAGTCCACTTCTGTAAAAATCAAAAGTTGCACAAAACAATAGTGGATGTTCTTATGACAACCTTAATTCTGAATAAAGCTTGACCTAATTCATAAAAGCCCAATCTTCTTCTTCTAGAGTTTTGAGATTGGGTAATCTTGATAAATACTCTTTAAAAGTGTGTGAGTCGGGACTTTTACCCTTTATTTTTTATTCATAACTTTTTTAATCAAATAATTATACTAACAAAAGAATATTTATCAAGATAAAAAAAATAAAGATCCAAACTCATGCACTCTAAGGTAAATTCTTCATTTTTTCTTTGATATATTTAACCATGTCTTCTTCCATATCATATGAAAGCATCAAAAGTATTAGACCTTGTCTTTGGGGAGAGAAACTAGAGAGGAGTAGAAAAGCATAGAAAATCTTAGTAAAAGAATGTCATAAGATAAATTCAGCGACAATAGCATAAATAAAAGTGTTATTTTATTGATGACATTTTGAAAATTTCCTTAAAATAGATGAATGAAACATTTATAAAAGAATATCTTAAGTGTATTATAAGTACATGGTATAATCTATCAAGAGCTTCTATCAATTTTTCACTAACAAATTAAAATAAAAATTAAAGTAGTATATGTTTTTTTAATGCAAACATATTTAATAAGAACAAGAATAATATCGTATCTCTATAGTGAAAACAGAATCCTATTTTATAGAAAATATAAGGCTTATCATTTTATTCACTAATTTTATATTCTTCCTATCTCCGTTTTCTATTAAGTTTTCTTCTTTTCCCCTTCGAAAAATATGGTGTAAAGGAAATCAATTGACAATTAGATGAGAGATACGATACAAAAGTAATGCAAAGAAGACTCCAAATCTAAGAAAAAGAAAAGAAATTACAATATAGATTTAATATTAATTTGAAATTTATCAAAAGGAAAATGTATTCCTATACGTTTTCTATTTAACATGGACCCATATTTTACCTTATTACAAAGCATCAAGATTGGAGAAAAAGAGAGAGACAGAGAGAATATGATCAACATAATGAACGAGAAGCGGAAAAAAAAAAATAGATTAGATATTAATTTGGAAAGATTAGGACTTTCGGAAGGAGTTTTGTGCTAATATCCAGTTTAAATGTGGTAAATGTTGCTCCTTGAGTTTGTATTTTAATGGTGATCACATGCTAAACTACTACACTATTAAAAATAAACGCCATATTAGTGGAGAATCCTTGGTTTGACTTGGGCACACCAAAATCTATATATAACAAGAAAAAATGGGGGGAAACGTCTCTCCACGTTAGGTTTCTTCAAAATTTTGTTTAAACATGGAACAATACGGAGGCAACAACAGTGACACCAAAATACCATTTCTGTTCCATGAACAAATGTTCGACTTATATGTTATAACGTACTGAAAGGAAGCCAATGGAGGAGCAAAAATGAAGCGCTGCCGCTGGAAATGGTTCTGGTCATTCATCGTCCGAATAGTTGAACTTGATGGAATGTGATTGCAAATCGATCTGCCCTCCCCGGTAGCTTCCACGCTTCTTCTTCGTCTTTTCATGCCGGAAATCTCTGAGAAAGAGAATTGAGTTAGGATTCCATTATTTAAATAAGTGTATCATTCTGCAAACTAACTCAGCAATCTGTTACATGAAAGCACTTGTGGCTGTGCCAAACATAACATTAAGGTGACAAACCACTTTTCTACAAGAAATTCACAAATACGGTAAGAAAGCCATTTTCTCTGAACTAGAAATTCATAGGTACACGATTAGTGTCAATAATTAAGACGAGAAAATGAACGTTGGATGGAGCTTTGTGGAGGTTGAGGATTTAGTCGGCGAAGGGATGGTGGTGGTTAAAAAACATTGAAGGCAATACAAAATTCCATTGAATACCCCTCTCGGAATTTGCACGTGACTCCCACGTGTTAATTTAACATAAAATGGAGGGAAGGACGGGATTGCAACATAAGAGAGACTTAGAAGCACGTTGAAGGCCCAATTGCAAAACTAGTGAAAGATTGGGGAGCAATGTCACTAATACTCCAAAAATAAATTAATATATAAATAAAAAGAAAGCCAGGATGACAGCTTCTCGTTGCAAAATCAAATGATACAAACTTGTTATCTCCAAATTCTGCAAAACAAATATGACATACAAATGCAATTGCCATATGGTAATAGTATAATACAAACCTTCCTCTAACTTGCCCTAGAACTTCTTGTGCCTTCGCACCATAACCAATCTCAGCACCGCCCTGCATTGAACGGATAGTGTAAAAATCTGATGGCCACAGGAAACATCGTCTAAAACTTGAGCAAGGTTAAAAAAATAATTGGTCTATTACCTTTGCCCAGTAGGAATTATCCTTGAGTCTCTCATTGGCAAATTCCACCTCATCAACTTTCACCCTTTGAAATGCATTAACAGTCTTTGGCTGCATGGAATGTAAGCAACATGAGCTTGTCGGCTTCGTTATTGAGTGCAACAAATATTGTTCTTTTCTTCTTTTTTTAACAGCCAAGTCAGTGTAGTTGCAGAGAAAAATATTCTATTTTAGAGTTCAAATCGATGAAAATGTCTCAAAATACTGGAGATTACTGCATTTTAGAATGGACGAAACAAATATACGCACATTGCATGAACAATCAAAATAGATAAAGGAGATAAAACCTAGTCCACTTCTATGCTTTTTCATAGATATTGGCTATATTAAGAATGCACTTTCACAACTATACCTCAGCAGAGCCATTACGTTGTTTCTTCGCTGTTCTCTGTGCAGAAAATTCCTCAGCACTTTTGTTTATGTTTCCATTTTCAACTATACCTTCAATCTTTCCGTCTTTAGATTCTTCAGTTGCTGTTGTATCTGTAGGCTTCAAATCATTTTCATCAGACGCCAATCTTTTTCTCTTCTTAGAAGTAACTTTATTATCCTCCCCAGTAACATCCACACCAGACATTTTGGAATCATCCCCTGCAGAACGATTTAGAGTTATATCCTTCGAATCATCCTTCTTTTTCTTCTTAGTTTTAGACTTGGAAATTTTCGCTTCCACTGATGCAGTAGAATTCACAGCTCCGGAATCGACATTATCAACAAGAGAATCATGTGTTGACGGCTTCTTCTTTTGCTCCTTGTCCTTGGTTTTTTTCTTACTCTTCTCAGAATCAGTAATATTTTCTCCCTCTAAAGATACATCTGCAATTTTTCCTTCAGCTGTAATGGGCAGTGATTCTGATTCAGAAATGGACTTATTTTTCTTCTTCTTTTTGTCCTTGTTATTTTTACCAGGCTCCTCCGGCTGCAGTTCAAGTTTCTTTCCTTCATCTGTGTGAATATGCTTATCTGCAATTCAACAGTTGTGGAACAAGATCAAGATCTATCCTCAACAGAAAGCACTACCCAAACTAGTTTCAATGGGTGTATATGCGATTATATTTCTGAAGAATGACTGGGCAGGTCTTCATTTCAAGAAAGGGGAAAAAAAGGAACAAAGCAGCAACAGAAAAGCAAGAAAGAAAGGGAGAAAAAAAAAAAAAACAAAAAAAAAAGGGAAAAAAAAAAAAAAAAAAAAAAGGTACAAGAGACATGCTGCTGCAAAGATTTCAACTTGATAGCAGCTGCCCTAAGAGATGGCCCATGTTGGGCTTGCTTGTTTGGCAGCCCAGTGACAATGTCATATACTAGCATCTCTAAGCTTGAGAATGCCAGGCCCGTCTTCCCCTTCCCCGACCACCTTTTCCCTTACTGCTTTTCTTTCCATTTCTTACCTCAAGTTCCCAAACCCCATAGGTCCTCCAATGACTCTCCACTTAAGTGTTCAAGATACCCTTATTTCTTTTTCCCTCGACCCTCATGTTCCTTTCGTTTTTAATTTCCTCATCATTTTCCCTTTCCTTTTCTCTCTTAATGGAGTCGCGTGTTGGACTTTTTTCTCTTTCTACAATCATGCTATTGCTGTGCCATTAGCTGCTGCAAGCTTACAATTATTCTACTTTTCAAAACAGTTTGAGCTCAGACAAACAAAGGACTAAGTCTCTCATATACACATCAAGCCACGTAAAACATTTATTGTTTTATGCATGTAACACGTAAAGAGAGAGGGGTTTGGCTCCCTAACCTTGTTCCTTTTGGCTCTTGAAACTTGCCTTGGCATCATCACTGCATTAAACAGAAGCTCGTGAGATCATCATGTCACAACTTAATGATAGCATGATTAAGAGTACAACATAAATCCCCATCTTCGCGATTTATGGAGTATGTGTGTCTGAGTGATATGGCCAGAAATGAACAAACAAGTATCTGGAGAATAAGAGGATGTTTGGTAGAGGGATTCGTTCCCTGATTCAAATCATGATTCGTGGTTCGCTACAATATTTTCTCTCACAAAAAATTCACGTAGATCGAAAATGGTTCGAATCACATGGTTTGAATTCTCCAACCAAACGTCCTCTAAGTTTCTGGATATTATTTATTTATGTGAACGACAACTTCTTGACATTCTATGGTTTCCTTCCTAAAAAGGATATAAGGATCTTCCACTTATCATTAACTTGTTTAAGTCGGAAGGGATAATGTAATTGTGCTTTAAGTTGAATGAATTATTGTAATTGTTTTTTTCATTACAGGCACTCTATCTTGGATTTCTGACAAGAGAAATCCAAGATAGAGTTCCTTAGTGTATGCTTTTTGCGGACAATATAGTTTTAGTTGATGAACATAAGGAATGAGTTAACCTTAAATTAGAACTGTAGAGACACTCTCGAGACGAAGCGATTTAAGTTAAGTAGGACGAAAACTGAATACATGCATTGTAGGTTTAGTAACTCAAGTAATCAAAGTGATGAAATTTCTTTAGATGGTGTGGAGATTGGGGCTTCTAGGAAGTTTAGGTACATTGGGTCTACAGTGCAATACGAAGAAGATATAAAAGAGTATATTCAACATAGGATTAAGGCGTGGTGGGTTAAGTGGAAGAATGCTACGGGAGTTTTATGTGATGGTAAGATGCCTATTAAGTTGAAAGGAAAGTTCTATAGGACTGTAATCTGTCCAGTTATGTTATATGGTAGTGAATGTTGGGCCATTAAGAGACAACATATATGAGTGTGACAGAAATGCGTATGTTAAGATGGATGAGTGACCAGACGAGAATGGATCGCATAAGGAATGAAGTTATTCGTAGTAAAGTAGGTGTAGCACCAATAGAAGATAAGGCACGTGAAGACCGCTTGAGGTGGTACGAGCATGTCCAACGTAGACCGCTAGAAGCACCAGTTCGTGCTTGGGAGGACATTCTTATACCTAATACTAGGAGAGGATGGGGTAGACCAATAATTACGTGGACCGAAGTAATTAGGAATGACATTCTAAATCTAGACCTTCAGGAAAGTCTAATTTTGAACAGAACTGCGTAGAAAAGTGAAATTCATATAGCTAACCCCAATTAAGTTGGGATTAAGGCTTATTGTTGTTGTTGTTGTTATTGTTTTCTTCATTACAGGAAAGATGTCACCTCTTTTCACCTATTATCTTTCTCTTTCATATCTTTCTTTGAAGTTCAAACTCTCGATTATAATAAGAGAGAGCATAGTTGCTGTAGCACAAACAAGTAAACTCCAAAAAAATTCTCTTAGCATACAAAATCTCATTTTATTATTTGACCCAAAATGGATACTTTTCTCAGTAATTTAATAATTTTAGAACAATAGACATCTCAAACTAAAATCTTATTGCCAGAAATAATGAGCCATCATATTAAGTATCTGATTGTAATTTAGAACGTAAAAAGTAAAATGTAGTTTTCCAAATGACGAAAAGAAAAGGACCTAAAAGTCATGAAAATGTCTCCAACTGTTCCCTAAACACAAAACAGAGGCCATCAAAACTCATAAAAATATAATCTTGTTTACCACATTTCGATATACTTGATGTAAAGTTCTTCCAAATCCACCAACGACTCCTTCAAAGCATCTATCTGCGTCAAATATCAATATATAAGCAAAAATATATATGTTTCAAATCAATCAAAATCCAACTGGGAAAAACGTCGGAAAAGAAGTCGGAATCTGTAAATTCCTAGGCTTTCTCGGCAGCCAAACAGAAATGGGGAAGAAGGGGACCTGAATTTGGGATTCGGAGCGAAACTTCTTGAGGGTTTTGGAGAAGCCATTGCGGTCGAGAAAACGAGCGACGGAGTGAAGGAGAAGAGATTTCTGGTCGGAATTTAGGGTTTTGCGAGTCATCTTTTGGTTACAGAGAAGAACAACTGGGCGGGGCCTTAATGCGAGGAGAGCAGGGTTTAGGGTTTCGGGCATAAGAGTTGGAAAAAGGAGCTCCTCTTAATTTAATTTAGGGTTTATGATTTCTCAAAATTAGGGTTTCAATTCGAGAGCTTCTTTTTTATTTTTATTTTCTAAATTGGGATTTTGGCACCATTGATCCCTAAATTTTGTAATTTTTGACACCTAAGTCCCCATTTTAAGAATTTAGATCCTCAGGTCCTTAAATTCTTAATTTGTTGGCAATGTTAACCCTATTTTAAGAATATAGACACATAAATCCTTAAGTAAGCATGATAGAAAAATCCATAAAAGCTTTCCTTTTTTTGAAGTAAAAATTGTCTTTTCTTTTCTTTTTTTCAAAAACAATGTAATAATACC